ATCTAATCTTGAGATTCTAATTAGGATGTTGTATATACAATTATGTTTGATTCCGTTGTTGTTGTTAAAAATCTTGCCATATAATACCTACTATTTTGTATTGTTAAAGGTTAATAATGACTATATCAAGATTGAACTTTTCCATATTATATAGAAATAAACTATTTACAAAAGAAACTAAATAAATCTCAATGCCACCAAAATTAATTAAAATCTCAAGATTATTTACATTTTTCATACATAATGGTCATATACAGGCTGTTAGCCGGAAGAATACAGCAATGACAACGATATCACCTATTTTAAGAGTCTTAAATTATATGTCTCCTAATTCACGATCAGAAAATATGTGACCAATTTGTCTAATTGCTCATATATTTGTCAATATAAATACTTTTTCTGCACGTCCGATTCTTCAATAATAAACATGACTCAACACGTTTTTTCTTCATCAACGTAAATAAAATACTTGTTTTTTCCAAGTTACTTCGATCGTTAATCAACCATGACAATATTACATCACTTATTTTTTCGTTCTCTACGTGCTATTTTTTATAACAACATTATATACAGTTAAAGAAAAAACAAGTCGAAAGGAAGTAGACAACTATAAAAAGAACCATTTTTAATCTTTGCTTCAGTAGTAAATTTTATATAGTAACTTCAATGCAAATTATTCACCAAGCAAACAATGAGTAAAGAAAAATCAACAACAAATGCATCGGCAGTTCTAAAAGGTGCAGAAGGTCGTCGACGTATCAATATTCAACAGATGCAAAATGTTCTTCTGATCTGGTTAGACAATAACATTAACGAGAATAACGACGATTGCCAAAATACAATCACAAAACTGCGATGTGCTGTGAATGACATCAATACATTTACAGACGCTAATCAATGCTTTGAATTCATTGAAACAATCGTCGACAAAAAGGTTTGTATGATCATATCTGGATCACTTGGACAACATGCTGTGTCTTGTATGCATAATGTGTTTCAAGTTGATTCAATTTTTATTTTTTGTGGTAATAAAAAACATCATGAACAATGGGTCAAAGACTGGCCCAAAATAAAAGGTGTCTTCACAGATATTACACCCATCTGTGACGCAATCAAGGAAGCTGCTCATCAATGTGAGCAAAATGCTATTCCCATGAGTTTCGTAGGAACGAATAAAAAGTTGGATCAATTAGATCCTTCTTTTATGTACACTCAAATCATCAAAGAAATATTATTCACCATCACATTCAATCACAACCACATCCGAGATTATCTTAATTACTGTCGCGATGCTTTTATAGGTAATACAAAAGAAATCGCAAATATTAAACGATTGGAACGTGAATATCATAATAAAACACCAATTTATTGGTATACCTGTCAAATGTTCTTGTATCCCATGCTGAATTCCGCATTACGATTGATGGATGGTGATACTATTACACGTATGGGTTTCTTCGTTAGTGATTTGCATCGACAGATTGAACAACTGCATCGGGAACAATATCCCGATACAACTGCTGCTAACATCTTTACCGTTTATCGTGGCCAAGGTTTTTCTATAGGGGATTTTGAACAAATGATGAAAACTAAAAGCGGTCTTATTTCATTCAATAACTTCTTATCTACTACTAAACATCGCAATATATCACTGGGTTTTGCTCAACGTGCTACGATTAATCCAGATCAAGTTGGTGTACTTTTTATCATGAAAATTAATCCGGCTCTATCAACAGCACCATTTGCTTCCATTGCTGGTATTAGCAAGTTCCAAAAAGAAGAGGAAGTCTTGTTTTCGATGCATAGCGTTTTTCGTATACGGGATATCAAACAGATGCATGACAATAATCGTTTATATGAAGTTAATTTGACACTTACTGCTGACAACGATCCAGAACTGAGCAGACTTACCGATTACATTCGAAAAGAGAGTTATCCAGACAGGGAAGGATGGGCGCGATTGGGCTTGGTACTATGGAAAATGGGTCAATTTGACAAAGCTGAAGATATTTATCAAGTTTTACTTGATAAAACAAACAACGATGAAGATAAGGCACCACTTTATGCTCATCTTGGTTTAATCAAAGATAATCAAGGAAAATATGCCGAAGCACTTACATTCTATGAAAAATCACTTGCTATCTATCAAAAAACTCTACCTCCCAATCATCCTGACTTGGCTGCTTCCTACAACAACATTGGCAGCGTGCATGACAGTATGGGTAGCAATTCAGAGGCACTTTGCTATTATGAAAAAGCCCTTGAAATCAAACAACAATCACTTCCATTGAATCATCCTTATTTGGCTTCTTCCTACAACAACATTGGTAATGTGCAGGCCGACATGGGTAATTATCCGAAAGCACTTTTATCTCATGAAAAAGCCCTTGAAATCAGCCAACAATCACTTCCTCTCAATCATCCTGATATGGCTTACTCCTACAGCAACATTGGTAGTGTGCATGAAAACATGGGTAATAATCCCGAAGCACTCTCTTATTATGAGAAAGCTCTCAAAATTCGACAACAATCACTTCCTCCCAATCATCCTGATATGGCTTACTCCTACAGCAACCTTGGTAGTGTTCAAGAAAAGGTGGGTAATAATTCCGAAGCACTCTCTTATTATGAGAAAGCCCTTAAAATTCGCCAACAAGCACTTCCTCTCAATCATCCGGATATGGCTTATTCCTACAGTAACATTGGCGGAGTGCATGAAAAGATGGGTAATTATCCCGAAGCACTTTCATTTCACAAAAAAGCGCTTGAAATCAGACAACAATTACTTCCTCCCAATCAACCTGATTTGGCTATGTCCTACAACAACATTGGCAGTGTGCATGACAATATGGGTAGCAATTCAGAAGCACTTTATTATTATGAAAAAGCCCTTGAAATCAAACAACAATCACTTCATCCCAGTCATTCTGATTTGGCTATAGCCTACAGTAGCATTGGTGAAGTGCATTACAACATGAGTAATTATGCGAAAGCACTTTCATCTTATGAAAAAGCGCTTGAAGTCAGACTACAATCATTCACGCCAAACTATCCTAATTTGGCTGCTTCCTACAACAGCATTGGTCTGGTGCATAGAAACATGGGTAATTATTCAAAAGCACTTTCATCTCATGAAAAAGCCCTTGAGATTCGACAACAATCACTTCCTTCTAATCATCCTGATTTAGCTGCTTCGCACAACAACATTGGTTTAGTGCATAACGACATGGGTAATTATACGAAAGCACTTTCATCTCATGAAAAAGCCCTTGAAATTCAACAACAATCACTTCCTTCTAATCATCCTGATTTGGCTAAGTCCTACAACAACATTGGTAGTGTGCATGAAAATATGGGTAATAATCCCGAAGCACTGTCTTATTATGAAAAAGCTGCTCAAATTCAACATCAATCACTTCCTTACAATTATCCTGATTTAGCTGCTTCCTACAACAGTATTGGTAATCTACATTACAACATCGGTAACTATCCAAAAGCACTTTCATCTCATGAAAAAGCCCTTGAGATTCGGCAACAATCCCTTCCCCCCAATCATCCTGATTTGGCTTCTTCCTACAACAATATTGGTAATGTACATAACAGCATGGGTAATTATGCGCAAGCACTTTCATCTCATGAAAAAGCTCTTGAAATCAAACAACAATCACTTCCTCCAAATCATTTTGATTTGGCTAAGTCCTATAACAACATTGGTAATGTGCATAATAGCATGGGTAGTTATCCAAAAGCACTTTTATCTCATGAAAAAGCGCTTGAGATTCGGCAACAATCACTTCCTTCTAATCATCCTGATTGGGCTACATCGTACAACAACATTGGTAATGTACATTACAACATGGGTAATTATCCGAAAGCACTCTCATCTCACAAAAAAGCGCTTGAAATCAGAAAACAATTATTTCCTTCCAATCATCCTGATTTGGCTAAATCCTACAACAATATTGGTAATGTGCATAGCAGCATGGGTAATTATCCAAAAGCACTTTCATCTCATGAAAAAGCTCTTAAAATTCGACAACAAGCATTTCCTCCCAATCATCCTGATTTGGCTGTTTCCTACAACAACACTGGTTTAGTTCATGGCAATATGGGTAGTTATCCAAAAGCACTTTTATCTCATGAAAAAGCTCTTGAGATTCGACAACAATGCCTTCCTTCTGATCATCCTGATTTGGCTATGTCCTTTGGACACATGGGTAATACGTACAACAAGTTGGGTCAACATTCAAAAGCGCTTTCATTCTGTCAACATGCTGTAGATATTGCACAGCAATCACTACCATCAAACCACTCGCATCTTGAATGGTATAGAAACAATCTGGAAGACGTGAAAAAGAAATTAATAATTAATTTTTGACTTAATTATGAAAATAAATAGGTATTCTAGAAAAGACCTTTACGATCTATATATATTGTCTGAACAAGATAGAATTTCTTTGTGGTGGGTAAGAAAAAGAATGAGCACCCAACAGGCTGTTTAAAGTAACGAATAGAGAGAGAGAAAAAGAACTGAATTTATTTAGTACTATGAATTGTTCTTTCTGTTCCAATAAAAAAAATACTTTATATGTATTGAATAAATAAACGAAAGGTAGAAAAATAAATGATTTCTAGACATATGGACATACCGTGGAACAGATTATTATGTTAATATGAATAGAAAACACTTCTCAACTTAACTCAACTCAACTCAATTGAGTGAAATGAAATGAGTATATATATATATATAACTGTTATTTTTTGAGTACCCGTACAAATTCACCGAGGATTTTCTAGGAGTGTCCCCATATACATTCGTCGAGCAATTTCTACGTTCTTGAAAGTAAACTATTGATATTCAAGTTTCTTGAAGATCTGGGTGGATGGGTGTGGATGTATGTGTAGGTATAGGTATAATATTTATATCACAGTCGCATCTTTACCCACACCCATACCCACCCTCAAGGTTTCTTAAATTATATGTCTCTTAATTCGCGATCAAAAAACATGCGATCAATTTGTCTAATTGCTCATATATTTGTCAATATACATGCTTTTTCTCCATGGCCGCTTCTTCAATATCAAACATAACTCAACACGTTGTTTCTTCATCAACGTAAATAAAATACTTATTTTTCGCAAGCTATTTCGAACGTTAGTCAACCATGACAATATTTCATCAGTTGGTTTTTTCGTTCTCCATGTGTTTTTTTTCATAACAACATTATACACATTTAAAGAAAGACCATTTCAAAAGAAATTAGATACGTATAGAGATAGAACGAATCGGTTTTGATCTTTACTTCACTAGTAAGTTTTACACAGTAACTCCAATTCAAACCATTTACACAGCAAATAATGAACAAAGAAAAATCAACAACACATGTATCTACAGTTTCAAAAGGTGCACAAGGTCATCAACGTATCAATACCCAACAGATACAAAATGTTCTTCTGATCTGGTTAGACAGTAACATTGACGAAACAAATAATGATTGTCAAAAGACAATCAAACAACTTCGACGAGTTGTGAACGACACCAATATATTTACAGATGGCGATCAATGTCTGGAATTCATTCAAACCATCGTCGATAATAAGGTATGTCTGATCATATCTGGATCACTTGGACAGCAAATTATGCCTCGCGTGCACAATATGTCTCAAGTTGATTCAATATTTATCTTTTGTGGTAATAAAAAACATCATGAACAATGGACCAAAGATTGGCCCAAAATAAAAGGTGTTTTCACAGATATTACACCCATCTGTGAAGCACTCAAGGAAGCTGCTCATCAATGTGAGCAAAATGCCATTCCCATGAGTTTCGTGGGGACAAATGAAAATTTGGATCAATTAGATCCTTCTTTTATGTACACTCAAACCATCAAAGAAATATTATTAACCATCAAATTCGACCAGAAGGACGTCCAAGATTATATTAATTACTGTCACCATATTTTTGTGGATAATGAAGAAGAAATCGAAAATATTAAACGACTGGAAAGTCAATATTATAATAAAACACCTATTTATTGGTACAGTTCTCAAACGTTCCTGTATCCCATGCTCAATCGTGCATTACGATTGATGAATGGTGATACTATTACACGTATGGGTTTCTTCATTGGTGACTTCCATCGACAAATTGAACAACTATACAAGAAACAATATGTTGGTCCAACTACGGCAGACACCTTCACTGTTTACCGTGGTCAAGGTTTATCTACAGGGGATTTTGAACAAATGATGAAAACTAAAAGCGGTCTTATTTCATTCAACAATTTCTTATCTACTAGTAACAACCGCAATATATCACTGAATTATGCTCAACGTGCTACAATAAATCCAGATCAAGTTGGTGTACTTTTTATCATGAAAATTAATCCGGCTCTATCAACAGCACCATTTGCTTCCATTGCTGGTATCAGTAACTTCCAAGGAGAAGATAAAATCTTATTTTCGATGCGTACTGTTTTTCGTATACAGGACGTTAAACAAATGGATGGAAATGATCGTTTATATGAAGTTTATTTGACACTTACTGCTGACAACGATCCAGAATTGAGCAGACTTACTGATTACATTCGACAAGAGAGCTTTCCAGACTCTGAAGGATGGTATAGATTGGGTATGGTACTATGGAAAATGGGTCAATTTGACAAAGCTGAAAATATTTATCAAGTTTTACTTGATAAAACAAACGATGATAACGACCAGATACCTCTTCATGGTCAACTTGGTTCCATGAAGAAAGATCAAGAAGCACTTACACTCCATGAAAAGTCACTTGATGCTTGTCAGAAAACTCTTCCTCCCAATCATCCTAGTTTGGCTACCTCCTACATCTGCCTTGGTTTAGTGCATTCCAAAATGTGTAATTATCCAAAAGCACTTTCTTATTATGAAAAAGCCCTTAAAATCAAACAACAATCACTTCCTTCTAATCATCTTAGTTTGGCTTCGTCCTACTACGACATTGGTTTAGTATATAGAAAAATGAGTAATTATTCAAAAGCTCGTACATTTTATGAACGTGCTATACAAGTTGGAGAACAATCATTACCTTCTAATCATTCTGATCTTCAAAAGTGGAGAAATAATTTCGAAGATGTAAAAAACAGATAATAAATTGTAGTGTTATAAATTTTTTTATGGAAGAGAAAAAATAAACTTTTTAAATAAGAACGGTTACTCAACAGACTGTTTAAAGTGACTATTTATATGAATAACTTGAAAGTAAAGTATATATTTTGTTCAAAATAAAAGAGAATGCAGCTTTTTCGTTTCTACTCATGTATATTATATTTTTGTTATTGTACTGATGATGAGCGTATCGAACATCTGACAAAAGTCGAAAATTCCACTGAAATAAAATAAAATATAATATAACGAAAAATTATTCGCATGGATTTCAATCTTTTGTACATTCTTCTATAGACTTCAAAGATATGACTTTTTAGAATCTAAAAAAAGCATTTGTAATTTTATCCTGAGTAGAACATTATACAAAGGAGGAATAATAAGAATCAGCTACTGTTTGTTTTCATTTTAAGTAATATTTACACGTACCTATAAAAGTACATAACAATTATTAAAAATATACATCAAAAAAAAAAAAGTAAACAATACAATACTCACAATAATCACAGATAATATTGAAACATGTAGAGAGAGATTGATGATATGACAGAAAGAAGAAAATCTACCAAGGAAACTCTCTTGATCTCATTTCAAGTATTGTTTTCATAGCAAAAATGAACATCGAAGCAAACATAAGAACAATAAACGATAAATTACATAAACAAAATGAGAAAGCAATATATTTTTTCAAGCGAGTTCTTCCTTCTTGTTGTTTTAATAAATGTTGTTGTACTTGAAATTGTCGTCGAGCATCTAATTGAGCAAATGTATCTAAATGTATATCTTCATCATAAAGTGAACGACCAAGAACAAGATCACGTGTGCCCATCGAATAAACTTGACCATCACGTTCAACATGAATAACTTCAGTAACAGGAATTGTTTTTAAATGAAATCTTGTTTTTTGTGTTTTCTTTTTTGATATTAATCCATCATCTTGTTGACGTAATACTTGCATTTCACGTAAATCTAATACTTGTGTACGAATTTTTTCACGTAAATTTATCCAACGTAAATCTTGTTCAACTAATTTCATTCGAGCATATGTTTCACTCATCATAGCAATATCAGGTAAACGATGACGAACAATATGCCATTTAGAATTACGTGGTAAATGATATGTATGTCGACGACTACGTGAAACAGTTAAAGATGGATGTGGAGATATATTTTGTGTTGAACGACGTCGACTTAATGAACGTAATGTTGTTGAAGATGAAAATGATGAATGTATTCGACGACCAAAACGATGATCAAGTAAAGTACGTCGTAAATATTCTGTACGATTTAATTTTGAATTTTTTCTTTCAAGTACAGATGGATCAGATTTTCGATGTCCATTTTTATATATTGAATTTGATACTTCTAATTGACTATTTGTTAAACTACCATGAGTACTTCCACTTTCATTAGGATATAAAGTAATACGTATTTCAGATGGTGATCGTTTTGATTGTTCAGGATTACGATTTAAATTTGAAGAGTTTATTAGTATATGATCATTTTCTTCTAAATCATCATCGTCATCGTCATCATCAGTAATATCGATTGAAGATTGTTTAACAACAAAGAAATTTGATGATGATGATTGTGATATTGGTGAACGATTTTGTTGTCGATTAGCTTCGATTGATTGAAGTATACTTGGTGGAAATGGTTTCAAAACTTTTGTAGGTGGACTTAATAAATATTGTTGTTCAGTTTGAGTCTGAATGATTGGTTTTGTTTCATCATCTGTTGGTAAATTCAAAGAAACCGATGTAGTCATTATCAATTGAATTTTTATATGAACATCTGGAATTATGTAAACTTATCAATAGTAAATTGATTTTGATAATATCAGATAGGTAGGTATGACTTTGTGGGAGGAGAATAAAAGAAAAAGAAATAGAATAAGATACGGGAATTAGACCAGATGGATATTATATGAGTATATGGCTGTATGTGTGTATCGGACAATTGTAAGATGTAATTTCCTTTTGAAATAAACGATAAATAACAATAAATCCTTTATCATTCCTCTTGTGAAACTATTAATGATTTGTCACTAAGTGGTAAAGAAGAAAAAAACGTGAATTCAACGAAAAGAGAAGTTACCTACGTTTGTTGCTTCAGTATTCATTGCCGCTGACACATCGCTTACACGATACACTCTGTGAGGTAAATAATAAAAAAGAACGAGATAAAATAAAGAATGAAAGAAAAAATGGTTTAATGGATATCGAATTCTATTAATTCTTTTTTTCATCATCGTATTAAATAATAAAATTTAAGAATTCTGATTATTACCAAAATCTTCATAGCATAATATCTGTCAAGAAGATATGCGTACCTATATATATATTCTATCAATAGACATTGTCTGCGTCATAAGAATCCCTGTTGACTATTTTGATCATGACACATGCTGAAAACTTTTAATTGAATCAAATATTGCTTTTATCTTCACTAAAAATCGAATAATGTTTTAGCGCCCACTATTTTACTAATCGAAGAATGCACTTATTTGACGTAGTAAATCGTATACATTAAGATAAAGAATAAAGATTTGTATTAAGAATGATGACGTATTACCGATTAAAGTATTATTTTTTTGTTGGAACAGTTACACATGTATTTTCGAATATGACTTCTATTGGCATTATATCGCGTATTCAAATATTGATTCATTAATGAAAAGTAGAACATTGACGTAGACGATTTGTTCACTTTATTTCACAATTTTTTGTATGAAAAAAATAGTTATCGTACTATCGATAATGATGGTGATATAAGAAAAAAGGATAAGTACGAAATATGCATACAGCTTACAAGTTCATATAGATGTCAATTCGATTACGTTTTGATTTAACTTAGTATACACGTGTATGTATATGTTATGCGTATAATATATATATCTCATCTTTCAAAATATCTACTGATCAGTATCAGTGGCTTATTGATAGTGAATGTATGATATTGCGTTTATATCAATATATGTTTAGTATTCACGGAAGCCAGTGCGGATTTAAAAGAACAGTTTAAATGTACAAATACATCTGCTTATGTTATGAGAAATGGTTAATCATATTTAGTAAGTCTTAAAAACTAGACAAGAAAAAAAACACAGCATCATAGTGGACAAAAATGATTGACTAGTTGATTGATTGCTTAAGACGGCTAGTAATATTCTATATATATACATCGATAAAACGAACTGGCTATTTGAAGAATGATGACGTTAACGAAAGAAAAAAAACGCGAGTATTTTATACTCTTAGGTGTAATTATAGTATATCTATAAGTTGAAAGAAAATATAAGTTTTGTCTCACCATTGTTCCATGAGTATATGAATTAAACTATTCCTTTTTTTTGTTCTTATTTGAATAGTAAAAAGAAATATATCAGGTATTTCATCTTCCGGTACTCGATAAAATCAGTAAAATTTAATTGAAAAAAGAAAAACGTTTGTATGTTCTTCTAGGTAAAAAGAAAAGAATACTGACATAATCAATTATAGATAAGTTTTTCTTTATTAAATGCATACTTAAAGAACATATATGCTGTTAAAATAAATCAACTTCTAATACCGATAACATTGTCAATAATACGAATCCTATCGAAGAAAAAAAGAATGAACTAGTGAGAACAAAAAAAATATTGATTTTACATGAAATCTACTTTGCTTGGAGCAAATAAATGACACAAAAAAAGTAATACTAAGATCGATGAGAAATTCATCATTAAAAAGAAACACAAATGTTTATTCAGATGAATAATATAAATTCTTTTTTTTTCTTAAAAAACTAACAATGATTTATATTAGAATCGATAGATTTACGACTGTTACTTTTTTTTGATACTTCAAACATTTGTAATTATGTTGAGAAAAAAACCATATTGTAAAAAGACATACATACTTTGTATGATGAAAGATTCTTTTGATTGTGAATTCGAATAATATATTTAATAAACAGATAAATCAAACGATTGAAATATATAGAAAAAGTCTTATAAGGTCTATCTTTTTTGTATTTTAATATAATTAATTTAGTTATTGATATATAACTCATAAACACACTGAAACCATATCAAGGGTATATATATATATTTTAAAGTGTCGGAAAAAATACCATCTGTTTATTATTATCCAAACGAAAGTCATAGTTGGACTAACTGATATTTCTTGTTTGATAAAATTTAATTAATTATTCTCGTGTATATATCTATGGACGTTAAACGTGTAGATATGAATGATGATCAATTTGATTGTCTTAAAAATTAATTTTTTTCAATCAAGAATTTATTAATATATTTAAAATTTTTGAGATAAGATGAAAGTTTATTCTTTATTCGAAATATGTCATCAAAGATGACGATAGTATAAATAACAAATATAAATGTCAAACAAATCGACTTGTTTATTCTGTACAAATTAATAAACGAGAATATACTTTACTTTCAATCAATTACTTCTTTTTCTACTGCATGCTCTATAGTTGTCTATATTAATTATAATAAATGTAATATAATCGTATAGAATTATTTTATTTTTCCATAAACAATTCTAGTATTACAACAAGTCGTCATTTGTACAGAGTACGATTAGAATATTAGAGTTTAAATTGTATTGCAAAATAATCAAATGTCAATAAATGTTATTCATTATTAAAAAATTTCTTTCGATTTAACTTTTACATTGGATTTATTTTGATATTTACTTTTAATAATCTTCTTCTATCATTCATATGACGATATATAGTATATTTAAAAACATTCTTTACTCAGTAGTGAATATTCACATACTCCTACAATATCATCTTATACTAGAACATGTTTTTATTATATCAAGGTGATTCGCTTTGACTATAATGTTGGCATTATCTTAGTAATTTATTAAATCTATCAATTGATCTTCATGGATACAATATGAACATTCGAACTAAGATTTTGCCCAAAAAAAATTGCATAATAAATAAATGAATATATTTTTTGTTCTGGATTATCTCTTATACAAGAATGTCTTCTATATTCTCTTCTTTTTCTACTGATCGATTTTTCTCTGTCCTTCGATATATACCAAACATCTGTTGTATAAGATGGTACCACTATATTTTATATACATATACATAGCCTTTTCTCTATATATTATTATTTTTTTTTGTATCTTGCGCGCACTATCTCTCTCTCTCTGTGTGTGTTCTAACTTTGTTATATGCACTGTCATCGTAGTAGCAATAGAAAAAAGGAACGTACCAGTCTGCATTTTATCGCTCTTTTGTTCTTGTATAATGTCATTGATGTATAACGTGAGTATAAGGATATCCTTGTCAATAAATCCTGCTTGAAACGAAGAAGAAGAAGAAGAGGAAGAACAGAATTGTTTATTAATAGATGTACTTTCAGTAAAAAAAAGAAGTCATGAGTCGATATAAATCAATAAATAGTTCAATAAAAAGTCATCAATCAACAATTAATCTACCTAAAGAAGAAGTGAATGTTGTTCTACTTGGAAAACAAAATGTTGGTAAATCCGCGTTAGTTGTTAAATATTTAACAAAACGTTTTATCTGTGAATATGACCCATTTCTTGGTAAGTAGCTTTCTTTCTTTTTTTTGATTTATAATAATATACCATGAAATATATTTTATAGAAGATACTTATTGGAAACCAGATATTGTTGATCATCAAGAAGTTCTTGTGAAAGTCATGGATACATACGGAAAAGTAAATGAAAAATATTCTTTTTATATTATTAAAATATATTTATTTAAGGATGATAAACGTTTACCTTATTATTTAAAATGGGCTGATGCAGTATTAATAACATATAGTATAACACAACAAGATAGTTTTGATATGGCATTAGCTTATTTAGATGCTATAACAAGTTATTCAAAAACTTTAAGTGTATCAACAAATGAACTTGTTCTTATGTTATTAGGAAATAAACTTGATCTTGAAAGAGCAAGGTAATAGAATTAACATATGAAATATTTCTATGCCTTCTTTCATAGAGTAATTCCAAAATGTGAAGGTGAAGCAATAGCTGCAAAATATAGTTGTACTTTTTGTGAAACAACAGCAGCTGATGATTATGAATATGTACAACAATTATTTCATCGAACTGTACGTGAAGTACGAAAAGAACGTGAACGTGTTGTTGCATCAAATTCTATTGATGAAGAACCAACAGCAACAATACCAATAAATTCACATATGAATTTTCCTTCTCCATCATCATCTTCATCATCAAGTTCATCATTACATTTTACAATATCAAATGAAACGGAAAAAATACCACTTTCATCCTCACCAGCTATCCCAGCACCACCTCCATTACCAGCAAATCTTACACAAAAACCAGGCAAATTAATTAAACCTGATTCACAAACATCAATAAGTTCATCAACATCAAATTTATTACTTTCGCAATCAAATAAAACAAGTTCACCTGTAGTAGCAACAAATAACCCATCTCAAGTAACAACATCAACTACGAAACGACCACCTTCAAAAACATCAAATGTACTTGCAAGAATTTTTAAATAAATCTTTTTCTTTTGTATAATAAAAAACGCGACAAAAATCTTAATTAAACAGGTGTAGAAAGTAATTGTCCTTGATATGTAACACCACTGTCACTAACATAACAATAACTAAGCATATCACCATTTAATTTTAATTCATAAGGAATTTTTTCTGTTGATGATACCATTGTTTCATCAACAAGTGAATTTGTTGGTGTAATTAAGTTTGATTTCGATGGTGATAATATTACATGATTATCTGAAATCTTTTTTGTTGTTGATGAATTTTGTCTTATTGGTGGTGATTGATCTAAACTTAAACGATAATTTGTGGGCATTACTGATGATGAACGTTGAAGTTGATTATAAGATGATACTGGTCGACCTTTTTGTTTTGATGTTAAAGATATTGTTGGCATTGATGTCGTTTCTGATGTTGTTGTTCCAAGTGACATATTGGATGTTGAATTAAATGATTGTGCTGTTGTTTTATTTGAATTAAATGATATAGTTGTATCGACATGATCTGTATTTTCTTCTTTTTCTTCTTGTTTTCGACGTAAACGAGCTAATGATTGTCGTCGAAGATAAGCAAGAAAATGACCATATTGAGGATGTGTTCGTGGTAAAGGTGGCGATGATGATGATGATGTGGTTGATTGTTGATGAAATAGTAATGGCTGAAGTCTAGTATTAGATGTTCCAGATGAAGTTGTATGACGAAGTATTTCAGGTTTATTAACAACATATAAAAAACGTGCATCTTGTTGATATTGAGAATAATTTGTACAAAAAGACGTTGTCGAACGTGTAATCATTGTTGGATAATTTAGTGAAGATTTTGAAGCAATTAAACGATTAGAAGATGGTGTACGTGGTTTAGTTTGTATCATTCGAGGTGATGAAACTTGAAGACGATATTCATGTGATTTAGGAAATGATATTGTCGTTTGCTTTATTGATTTATGATTTGCTGCCATTGGAATGAGTTATATTTTGAAATAAGAGAGAAATGAATGTTAATATAGTACTCTATTGTTTTGAATGGCTTCGTCAATGATGAGTGAATAAATTTATTACCGGACTTTTTCTCTTTCGATATCTGTCTTACTCATAAAAATGAATATATATTCATAGTATTAGTAAGAGAATTGTCAAAAGAGAATGAATGACGTTGGTATAAAATATATTCAATAGTAATTAGAATGTCATTTTTTTCTTCTTTGTCGTTTGTTTTAAAAAAGAATTTTTTTTGAAGTTCTTTAATAAATGAGATTGAAAAAAAAAGAAGAAAGAAAAAAAGAAAGAAATAGTAGAATTTGTCAATATCTTTTACAAAAATGTACGAAATAAAATATGCTCTATTCTTATTCATCAATAATATAATGTTCGAATTCTTACACACATAATGTCGATGTAGATATATATATCGATTAAAAGAGAAATTACTAGGTTGTGAGACTATAGATTAATTGAAGTAAATTATAGATCTTACTCAAAAGTTTATTGTTGGATAATTTAATTAATATTTGTAATAGATATTTTTAAAAATAGCTTAGTAAAATGAATATTTACTACATCGAAGAAAAAAAGAAACAAATTATTTTGCGGAATCAACAATATGACAAAAGTTAATTATTAGAATGGAAAAGATGAAACGTACTGTCATACTCCAACTATTGAAGTATGAATAACAACAAAACATTGAAATATAACATTTTTCTGGTTTGTTCTACGTCACAAGAGATTACTTTATATATTAAAATAGTGAGATTTATCAAGTAAATCGAATGGCGGTACATCTATTTGTCGTATTTACAATCCTGTAGATGTCGCTTGTTAACAATGAAATCTGATATAATCAATCTATGAACGGATTGGTTTACGCCTTCGATATTTATGTTTAGTTGATGTAATGTCATTTATTTTTATTTATTATAGTATTGTGTTAAGTGAAGGGTAACCTTTGAACATGATCGACCGAAAAATATTATTCGGTTTGAGTCTTGTTCTTTTATCGACATGTTATGATTTATCGAAATCATATTTAAATTCTCAATCAACTGAAACAAAACCTACAGAATCATCGTCATCATCATATGACAGTCATTCCAATGATTTATATGAACAATCTTCAAGTATTCCACCACCTAAAATGAAAAAACAACAAAATGTACCAACAATTAAATTTCTTTTTTGCCATAGCTGAGGGTATAATATATTTATTTATTAAAAATTTAATCCATAAAATATTTTCAGGTACCGAAATGTGTTTGAACAATTTTCTCAACTTGTTCGAACACATTACCCATTTATGGAAGTTGTTGGTGATAATTATCCACCACCACCTACCAAAGCCCTTATAGCCCGTATTATATCTATGGTTAAAATGGCGTTACTTGTTTGTCTTCTTTTTGGTCAAAATCCTTTTGCTCTTTTAAATATTCCGACTCCAGCAGCATTTTCTTGGGCATTACAAAATAAAATGTATGCATGTTTAATGGTCTTTTTCTTTTCAAATTCAATCGAATCACATTTGATTTCAACGGGTGCATTTGAAATATCGATTAATGATGTACCATTATGGTCAAAAATTGAAACTGGTCGTTTACCATCGGCAAATGAATTCGTACAAATGTTACAAACATTTGCAACAAGTTCTGACTTCAATGCTGCTATTCGTCCATAAAAATTCTAGTCCGAAATATTTCAAAAGATTTTCTTCTTGTTTTGTATCTTTGAGTTTTCAAATTGAAATTATTTTCCTTATACATCAATAGATTAATGATAAGGTTTTTTTTATGATAATGCAAGTTTAAAGTAATTACGTTTTACAGACTTGTCATTTGAGCTTTTACTTATCATTGATTTATAAAGATTGATATAAGAAATAAGTTTGAAAATTTGAAAAAACTAAGTTAATTACGACAATTAAATCTTTTGAAAATATCTTATTATTGTTGTTGTTTTTACAGGTCTTTTCTTTTTCTACTATTGATTATTTTTCGTTCGTCATAAATAAACTATGCCCATTATATATTTAAATAATATTCATCATAGATTAATGAAATCAGAAATATTGAGTGAACAAGATTTTGATTGAGTACATGAAAATAAGAAGTGCTTTTTGTTTGTTGTTTATTTATTTCATGCATTGATTATCTAATAAATATAAAGTTTTTCGCTTCAGTAGACAACTGTCTTATTATCAGCTCATGGTTTTATATAGAATAGATTCATTCTTTAACATTTGTTTGATCTGTCAAAAAACAAATTAGAATTGCCATACATTTATAGTTAACGTAAGAGAATGATTGATATACACTAGAGCCCATCGGGTCCGGGTATCGAAAGAAATATGTTATCAACATACTATGTTTTTTGAGTTTCTTTAATTTTTTATTCAAAAAGTCTTGAATTTATTTATAAAAATAATAGAAAAAACAACAACAAAACTATTTTCGAAGCAACTATCAGATTTCAAGTAGAAAAATGTACTGAGAATCTAAAAGTACAGTTCGAGTTCAGGCTAGTGCTCATCAGGATCGGGTCCGGGTCTAAAAAATTGTGGATTCGATGGGTTCTAATATACACACTTGCTAAATTTTGTATCCATCTTCTCTTTACATATTGCCATGAATTTTATATTAAATTATTTTGGTTAGACAATAATACTATTTCTTTTGATCTGACATAGCATTATTTTATGTCGTGAGACAATCCTGAAGTAAAATTAGTATTTTGTCTTGTTTAAAAATTCAATTGTAGTCTTCTTCACATTCATTGTGAAAAATTTACTAATGAGTCCATAGATAGATTATCTATTTAGAGTACGTATTGTTTCAACAACCTCTCTTGTATTTTCATTTTTTTCTTTTGAAAACACTGAAATGGTTGATTTATTAATGATATGTTTAATAAATTAAACATGAAACACTTACTTATCTTTGATTACTACGCATATATAAAATTTCAGAAAAATGAATCTAATTATATGATTATTTAGAAAAGAAAATTGACGTATGAGGTCATTCTCACGGGTATATCTAATCAATATATATATATGCAATGTTTTGTGTTCTTTGTTCATAGAATTAAATTATAGACAACATCAAATAATTCGTGAAAGATCATATCAAATTTATTATATATCTCACTAAATATACAACTACAAATTCATATGTAAGAAAAATCTTAAATTTTAATATAAAAATTTATTTTAGTTAATCAAACAAATTTAGATCATCATTGTAAGATAAAACTAGACAGCTTAATACTATCAGAAACATTTGACAATAACATAATGGTTTCAACAAGAAGGTCAAAGAATCGTGCCTGCTATATCTGGCTTTTTTTTATACTTAGAATAAAAATTTAATCTATTTTGAAGGTATCTGATCGACAAATGAATTTTATAGTTTTATTAATATAAAAAAATATTTTTGAAAAATATATCACTTAGATGGATTCTCGTTGATTAATATTTAACCTATTTTACTCTTATTTATTTAAGCCTAGAATTTCGAACTATACAATGCTATTCTCTGGATACATTAATATTCTGATTTATTACAATAAATAGAATATAATACATTATGAAAATATGCTTTTTTGAGAAAGCCTTTCAAGATGATAAGAAGCTTTTGAGATAAGACTTGTGTCAGTCCATTCAATTTATTAACATTCAGAAAAATTTGTAATACCTCATCTTCTCCTCATTACTTTTCTTCAAGGTATAGTGTGCTGAATAAGTTTTGAATACTAAAACATCATGATTTAAACCTGTAATTCTAACTATCTACCCGTTTTAGATCTCTTATTCTTCAACGGAAGTATCAGATATACAGGATATCCTGGATTACTGGAACCTTTTGAGTACTTTCTAAAAAGGGATGACTAGTTGAGAACCTAACATCGAAAGAAAAAGAAAATATTCATTAATATCTAAGACATTCGATGCATGATAGACATGAGAGAAAATCTTTTCAATTGAAATGTGAGAAGTTTTCAATAATTTATTTCAATAGAAGTGGACTGTTTTGTAAAATAATCATATATTTTTTATTCATTAAATACTACCATTAACATTATTGTCGACTCAATAACTTCCTATTATTTAAAAATAAGTTTTCTTTAGTCTACTTATTCATCTTTTCCCTTCTTTTCATATTGATGAGATCTGACAACTCATCATTTTCTTTAGATTCTAAACATACTTCTCCTCAATTTATTGCGTGAAAGCATACATAGATATGAACTTTATTTTACAATGACATGTCAAAAAATGAACTAATGATAATGTACAGACATTATTCAATCTTCTACTTTCCTTTTTCTTCTATTGTCATTTCCTTATTAATATAAATATGAGTGATAAAACGTAGATAAAAGTTATTACTTCTATTCTTTAGAAAGTCCTTTATGTCATTATTTAACAAATTTCTTTGAAAAATAATTTTTTAATATAAGAATTCATTTACGAAAATAAATTTTTAATTTCCGTATTTTCCCCTCTTTATTCGATATATAAATATCAGTAATATTTTTTATTTTTATTCAATCTAGATTTTCAATGAACATCAACTCGCCTTTTTATATCCATACAAATGCATCAGTGCCAGCTGTATGGCATTATGCTACAGGTGTATATTCTTTATTATGTTTATTATGTGGTACACTATCAAATGGTTTAGTTATTTTGGTATTCATCAGGTAAAATAAATAAATCATTGAATATTTATTTAGTTAAATTATAATAAAAATAGAAATTCAGTTTTACAACAACCAAAAAATTTTCTTCTTATTAATCTTGCTTTAACTGATCTTGGATTAATTCTTACAAATACTTCATTACATAGCATTGCATCATTTAATAAAAAATGGCCATTTGGACAACAAGGTAACTTTCAAGATAATTAAGAACATGATTAGTAGGTTTTCGTAGTATGAACTATCGAATGATCATTTTCCATATTCAAATTGATTTGATATATACATAAAGAGATGTTATTAAGAATCTACGTTCAATTGAATAGATTGTACATAGACAATTTTCTCGGATCGACTAACGAGGAACACTATTTAGGTGATACACTCCGATTCCATTCATTTATATCTCGCTCGATAGAGTATAGTGAGTTAGTCAAAAGGTAAAAATATTATCAGCCATCAACTGATCTTTGAGGTGTTATCTTCATTCTACTGAAAATTATAATAACTATATTTCGAGTTGACATCTTGTCTACAGATAGCTCTACTTGTACCTAGAATATTTTGAAAAGTTCAGGCGAAAAGAATGTTCCTTTCATAAGATATTGAATTTTCAAAAAAAAAATGACATCCTCGAATCTTTTCGTAAAATATGAGTGATTTTGAAAATTCAATATCTTATGAAAGGACTATTCTTTTGACCTGAACTTTTCAAGACATTCTACTTACAAGTAGAGCTACCTGTTGACAAGATGTCAAGTCGAAATATCGTCATTACAGTTTTTGATAGATATCATGCTGTAGGCTAAAATTTTAGTAGAATGACCACAACACCTCGAGGATGAGTTGATGATCGATCATATTTTTAGCTTTTGATCATCTTACTATACTCTATCGAATGAGATATAAATGAAGGGAATCGGAGTGTATCACCTAAATAGTGTTTTTCGTAAGATTTGTTTTTGATGAAACTAGATAGACTTTTATCTTTATTCTAAAAATTTCTTGATGGATCGACATAAGTTAAATCTATTATATTATTAATTTTACAAATTGTACTTTCAAACCATCGCTATATATATATCAAATAGATGTAAAGAACTTACTAAAGATATATCAGTTTGTATAATATACATATTTCTTTTCATGTGATAATATGAGCAAAACTAACTGGCTTTATTTGTAATTATATATATATTAAAATATATTTGTAGGTTGCAGTTTTTATGGATTTTGTGGTGGTGTATGTGGACTTACATCTATTGCAACGATGGCTGCTATTGCACTGACTCGTTTAGCTGTTGTTATTGATCCATTTAGTTCATTGAGATTGACTGAACGTTTTGCATTAAGTTTGTATTTTCATATAATTTGAATACTATTGTCAAACTAATATATATTTATTTGTTAGAATGTATTCTATGTAGTTGGATATATGGTTTAATATGGATGATTCCACCATTATTTGGTTGGAATCGTTTTGTTTTAGAAGGTTTTGGAACAACTTGTACATTTGATTATATTTCCAAAGATTTTTGGAATCGATTATATATAATAACCATAGTGATAGGTGGTTTTTTAATTCCATTAATTATAATTATTGTTTCATATTCAATAATTCTACATAAACTATCAAAACGTAGTCATCATTTAATAGATCAAAATGTTTATAAGCAATCATTTCCAATTCATTTAGAACAGCAAAATGGTTATTATTTTATTTCAAATTCACCGAATTATGAAACATATCGAAATCGAACAAAAACATTTTTCGAATCAAATGAAACGACTCGAATGACACAAATCATTCGTCATACAGAAGCTCGTGCTACACGAACTGCATTATTAGTACTTTTTATATATTGTATCGCTTGGGGGCCATATGCATTTATGACTATTCTATCACAAACTGGTTTTGAACATTACGTCAATATGTACACAACAGCAACACTTGGTTTATTCACAAAAACAGCAGCATGTATTAATCCTTTAGTATATGCACTTTCATCATCTGGATTTCGTCGATATATATGTATATATTCGAATTTCTTTTATAAATGTTATCTTCGATCTTATCCAATATCATCGCCAACTTATGATTTCAATCGAAGAAATTTAACTATAACAATTACTGCTCGACCAACAGCATCAGTTTGGTCACAACAATAAAAAGATAATGAATTTTTACTTTTACTTTTATTTTGTATATATAACACCGGAAAATAAAAAGATACAAATATACAAAATGAAATCTTTTAACCAATTTCATAATACTGATGATCATCATCATGAATTTGAGTTTTTTGAAGTAATTGTTCGTTTTGTTCATTTGATAAAATGATTTCATTTACTGGTAATTGATATCGAAATGTACTTAAACGATTAGGTAATAAATTAGTTGGTATACTTGGTAAATAGGGTGTTTCATGAACTAAACATGATCGTCTATTATAATGATTATGAAAGTATATTTGTTGAGATAAATTATTTGTATAATCTTTTGTTTGATTACATAAAATTTGTTTATTATTAAGATCGGATGAATGTGCTGAACTATAACCACTTGTACTTGTATTATCAGGTAAAGAAAAATGTTCGAAAGATTTTTTACGAATATGTTTTTGATTTTGATTTGATTTAACAAAACAATGGAATATCTAAACACAAAAAAAAATTGTTTAAATAAATATGAATAAAAATCATTTACTGATATATGATGATTTTTATAAAAACAAAATTTTCCAAATGAAGTTTGAACATGTTTTTGTAATAAACAATAAAATATTAATATTAAAAAACCATGAAGAGAATTAAGTATAGTAAATATATATGCGAATAAGAATGTTTGACCATAAAAATAAAATAAACCAGTTATCCATGTTAAACCAAATAGAATAGATATTGTTGACATATCACGTAATGAAAATCTTCAAAAGAAATATTTTCAAAATGATCCTTTGGTTATAGAAAAAAAGCAAACCTGATTTCATTCATACGATCAGAACAAATATTTATTTTTCTACACATTGAATACATTGATATAAGAAAAAAACAAAGATTTGCCTATAATATAATAAATTATTACTTATTTCGATATTTTGTTTATGAAGACTTACGAGTATTAAAAGTATAAATGGTATAGCAAATGCCCAAATAAAAGCATTATCATGTGATAACCAACAACTAAAAGATATGCATATTTAGTACTAAATAGGTTCATTCTACAAATAGAATGCACTGCTTCAACTACCGGTGGCATTAGAGTTTTCCTATCGGAAGGAGTTAAGTATTTTCCTGACGCCGCTATCAATTCCAGTGTAATTAAAAGTAAGAATTATGGTTTATTTGATTCAGATAATCATCCGACAGCGAAGAATTATTTTTCTTCTGATAGAAGTAGGAAAACAAATCAAGCGGAGAGGAGTTTCAGTTTTGTATTTATCAAGAAATATAATTGGAAAAAAGTTTCATAAAATTCTGTCAGAGTAGAATACAAAAGATGATGTATACAGGACTCTAAAGGTAAAGCTGACTGGAATCAAATTCATATTCAAAGCATACTTTCAATAAAGATTTTATCGATGATCTGTACATTCTTATGAGACAATTATGATGGTGATCATTATACAACTAGTTATAGTATTCTGTAGATATGTGTATACATACTATTGATTTAAATCAGTTTCATTTTTTGCTGAAAGTGTTATTGAAAGAAAAACAATTAATAATGGAAATCCATATGAATATAATGAATATGCTAATAAACGTATTCGATCAATTTTAAAAACATGTTTTAATGCAATTAATAATTCAATGCCATCAACAAACATCCAAGAAATAGTTGCCAAAAGAAAATAATCAAGTAATATAGATATAATTCGACAACCAAACTAAAGAAGAAGAAGGAAAACAATAAACTTTAATTTGATATTTATCAAAATAAATTTCTTATCATACTTTTGATTTAGTTTGATCAATACCAAATAAAAATAATATTTGTACAATAATTAAACATAATAACATATTTGTATGAATAATACTACGAACAGTTGTTAAATCATCATCCATATCCGTGTGAGATCTATAAATAAATAGACGATTTAAATGAAAATAGCCTTTAAGAAATAATATAAAGAGATGTGTTCAAAATCGATCAATTAACATAGATTTTATCAAAGAAAAAAATCATTATGATAAAAATCATTGAATTTTATTCTCTATTGTTTTATCTATTAACACTTCAATGATTAACTTTCCCTACTGAATGAGTATTGGAAATGACAAGTACATAAAAATATTATATAATATGTGAAAGTACATTCGCTTGTTTTTTTCAACCGTATAATGAAATTCAAAAATGAATGAACATGCACAATAGAAGATTTAAGAGCAAAATAATGATAGAAAATTATTCAATTTCTTACTATTAGAAAACTTTAACGTTCATATCGTACTTAAGTGTTTAATTACGTTATTCTTTCTTTCTAGTACCGATTATATATGCACTTGATGTATAGGCTTGGATAATGTTAAGAATTTTTATCTTATTGAACGATTTCTTACTGGACACCGATGATCTCGTTTGTATCTATTATTCCCTCAATTAGACGTTAAACTTTTCTTTTGATTCGATATTACTTCTTTTCGATGAAGAAATCAAGAGTGAAATTAAACCTTCGGTTTTAGTATCTACTATTGTTTCTGTTAAATCAATATTTTGATAACTGTGTGCGTCAACATGATTTTCTCTTAGTCTTATTGACAAAACTCGGAACCTCGAATTTTGCCAATTAGACTTTCATTAATTGTCAAAGAATCAATGAACTATAACCACTGTTCCCAAAAGAATATGAATCTAAGATATATAAGAATTGATCTGTCAGAATATATCTTGTTGCTTTCAGATATCAATGTAATTGACAGTCCCCACTGCTTTCGAAAACAAAGATTTCATAATAGCTCTTCCAGAACTTCGACTTTGATATGGTTGTCAAAGTTTTAGGCAAAACATCTTGTATATTTTTCAGTTTTTCCAGTTCTCAAGATGGGTTAGAAGACTTAAAGCCTGCAAGGGTGAGTCGTGAACTCACACTGGACATTTGTCAACTGGCGAAATTCGGTTAGGAGCAAAAGTCCTAACTCATATGCAAAGATAAAATAATTACCGCATGATGATTAATAAAATAATTGTTAATAAAAGGCATCCAATCGAAATCATACATCCAATTTTTGTAATAAATAATAATTGATTCGCATTCGATTTAACTATCGGCTAAAAATTCACATAAAAATTTTTATTTCAAAAATTCTTCAAACAAACAAACCTTGTCAGTATTTTCAAATAAAGCATATGTACTTTGATATTTACATGAACATATTGTATGCGTTAAATTTGTCGATAATAATTGACATCCATCCGTACTCCACTGTACTTTATTACTAAAAAAAACAATAAAATGAAAAAAAAAGAAATTTTATATTTTTTACTCTTCGAAATTTTTCAAATAAACACAAATTGGAATTTGATTGGATTTATTTAAATGACGAAATTTAATTTGAACGTCATCGATTAAAACATGTTTAGGTAATACATTTAAATTAACTATTTGATTATTTAATAATCCACTTATATTTATATTTGATATCGTAAAAATGATTAATTGAAAATCTAAATTTGGAATATTTTCACTATTAACTGTTATTGATATTGATCGATCAGAATTTTCGTATTGGAATTTTTTTGTTTTCAGAAAAAATTCTAAAATAGAAAAAAAAGTAAATTATTTGAAATAATAATAATAATCTTTATTTACCAATATGATTATTTATTGAAATGAATGAATTGGATAATTTGAGTAATTTAAAACTAAAATATTCGATTTGTTTTAAAATTCGATAAAGAATATTCCAGTTTAAAAATGATTTTTCTTTATCCAGTATTTTATCGACAAATAAAAGAAATTTCTAAAAAAAAAGAAATTATTTTTGTCGATTTTAAATTAAAACATACTTTTGCTAATTTTATGGATGACATATCTTTTAAATATTGATCAATTCGATTTAAATTATCATCAATTGAATAATTTATTTGTTCGAGACATTCATCATTAAAATCATCATCAGTTTTCGACGCCTATTATAAGAAAAATCAAAAAAAAAATTTTTAATTAATAAATAAAAATCAATTGATTTTGGTTTTGTACATCGATATGCAAACGATAATGCATGAATGGATTGAAAAATGGACATTGACATATAACATGACTACTATTTGAACATAATGATTGACATGCAAAAAACATATTTGTCGAACTAGATCAAACAAAATAGATGATTAAAAGAAAATGAGAATAAATGAAAAGAGTTTTTTTTTTGTTTCATACTCGACTTGTAATGAAAAATTTGTTAAACGATAAGCGCGACATTGATAATAATATTTCAATGACTAAAAATAGAATATATACGTAAATAGTTTTTATTTATGAAAATAGTTTTCTTTTCATCATATAGATTATCTCGAAAATATCGTTTGATGTTGTAGAAATGATTGATGTGAAATTATTGATCCTATCTATATGATAACAAAAGGAGGAGGAATTTTGTGACATTCCATATTGAGATAAAGAATACTAACTACTCATATGAGTTAAAGAGTATGTAATATAACTATTTGTTCATCTAATTATGGAGTATATTTGATAGTTCATAGAAACTAACCGGACGATCGAATATGACTGTAACATTTGCTGTTTGTATTGGATTGAAATTTTTTTCTTGTTCAATTAAAATAATAGATCGATTTTCTAAATCAAAATTCTTTGTATCAATAACCATCATTGGTAAATTCGTATGAGATTCATCTTTGTTTATATTTGTTCGATCGACAATTAATTGATTGATTAATAATGAATCATAATCATTTGATAATAAATGAAATTTACTTTCATTTTTCATTGGAATATAAATTTCAAAAATTAAATTTTGAAAATCAATTCCAAATGAATTTGATCCTAAACATGATTGAAATGTCATTTGTTCAAATGCACTTAAAAGACAATTCAATGAATTCTTCTCCTCTTTTTTTTCATTCCAATTTGTAAATGACTAGACAATAAAAATCAAAATCAAAATATTTAATGACTAAAGGACACTACATACAAGAATGCATGAATTATCCTTAGGCAATATACGATTGATTAGCCAAAAATTACATTGAAATACATAGCTATTGGCTGAACGATGTGTTGATAACTAATCAATAAAGATAATGAATAATAAAACTTATCAATAGAAATAACATTACTTGATCGGATTGTTTTAATGGACATTTACAATTTGTATAATTTGGTTTTGACCATTGACTATTCGAATTACAATAACGAATTATTTCTCCTACGAATGAACAAAATGAATATTGAATTATTATTTCTTTTTATGTAATACCATTGCATGGAGAAGGACATAGATGAGATTGATTTTTATTAATCGATGTTGTAGTCCAATGAAAGCCTTGGAGATATTCTTCTAAACAAACATTTTCCGTAAAGCCAATTACTTGATTATCAACTAAAATTTCAAAATAGAAAATTCATTTGTAAGTAGTAAATTTAATATACCATATTGACAAATATTTGATGGACATTGACAAGAAAAATCTTCTTGAATTTTTTCAATACATTTCAAATCTTTTGATTTTGAACAATTCGAAAATAATTTCGAACAAATTCGTTCTAAAACAAAAGATTTTATATCATTAGAGAAAAACTATTTCTAGTTACCTTTATCAATACATCGATAATGAACTTCAAAATGTTTTGGAATATTTAATCCACATGGATCCGTAAATATATGATTACTAATTAATATGTCACACGTTGATTTTCCATGACAACTAAAAATCTAATTAATTACTAAAACATATAAAAAATTTGTTTTGTTTTACCGAAGTTTTGTTTGATATTTTGATTGTTCAATATTTGCACATGTTTTATCAAAAAATCGATAGATTAAATCATTATTGCATATTCTTTGTGATGTTCGTCCATACATTGAACGTATTATTTGAATTGTTTCATTTATATTTAAACATTTTATCGTAAGTAATTCATTTTCACATACATGTTGAATTGTTACATTGGGAAAATCAATTGAATAGTCATTTTCATTAGATAATAAATGTTGAAAACTATTACTGAATAAACTTACAAATAGTAGATAATAATAACATTCATTCATCTACAAATATATATTTATATACAATGTTTATCTATGCATGAAACGAACAGATAAATAACTGACTGACTGGTTTGAGGATGATGATGAATCTATCAATGTAGGCAGAAGCGATAATCGCATTAGTCGCTTTTATTCATGCAGAAGATGATCAATCTGATTGTTTCTTATACCTTAAACAATTACGTAGCTAACTTCAAAAAAAAAAAGAAGCGAGACGCACGACGGCACATACTTTAGATGTATACTAAATTCATTTATTATCGAAATTAAAAACTTACTCATGAGAATTCAGTGAAGAACTAACTAGCAGTATGAAGAAAAAGAATAATAGTAAACTTTTAATAAATACTTCCGGCAGACATATGTTTATATATGAAAGTTTTCTTTTTTTTCAAAATTGTATACCTGATGGTAAAATTCTCATTCCCCGTAGGATTGACAGATGTCTAGCGTTTCCTTTTAGACAAAAAAAAACAATATACATATTATAGATAATGGAAATAGAACAAGTGACTAAAGAAACACACTCATCAACTGATATCATTTTACATTTGTGTAAAGTAGTTAGGAGAGAACATAGTAAACAAATATTTGTACATTGAAAAAGGAAAGAGTACTAGAGTGGAAAATAAACAATAGACAGAAGTATACATACACATTTACAATGGATTATAGATCTATCTATCGCCCTTAAATCGAAAGTTCAAGGTTTTATCAATGATTTTATGTGATCAAATCCTCTTTACTTACCGCTGAGCATTGGACAAGGTTATCATTAATTTATTTAAAAAAAAAAAGAAGGAGACAAAGAACAGTACACATAGATGCTTTTCGTTTGTACAATCGTGTGATGTGCAAGCAACATGCCTTTTCTTTCAAGAGAGAAAGAGAAAGGGAGAGAGAGATGGATAGAGAGAAAGAAACGCTTCTCTTTCTTATCATTAGTATTGCATTTTTCTTTCTCTAGAGAGACGAATGGACTCTTTCTCATATTCAGTCTTAGAAAAGAAGGAAACGCAAGAGATATCTGGATGTTCAAAATGAAGAAAAAAAAACTAGCTGAACATTTTATAATAAACTTCTTTACTCCTCTAAATCGAATCATTCAAGCATCGAATGAATGCAAATATGTCACAAACGACCTTTTTGAATTGAATAGAAAACGGGTGACGCGTGTATAGGCGCTCTCTTTCTTATTCTAATTATATACTTGACCATAAATACAAACACTCTTCTTTTTATTTAACTATATCAAGTTCCTTTATATATCGGTCATTTTGTATGAAAAGACGAAAAAAGAAAAAAACGAAAGAAAGAAAGAAAGATTGAAACAACAGTGCAATTTTATTCAACTGAAAATTGTTCCATTTTTTTCTTTGCAATTCTTACATCACAAATAATTCATATGTATAATTTATAAACACTGGAGAGAGAAAAAAAAGTAAACGCCTTCCGGAATCGATCATCATCATCATCGTCATTGTCGGCTTCATATGTATATATAGTAGAATTAGGTGACATAACTTGTCTGAAGAACTCTACATTCTTTCTTCTTTTTTTTTTTGAACAAAAGGAGTGTCTAATGATAACTAAAGAGAAGGCGAGGATGTTGACCGAAGTGAAAAGGTCAGCGATTGTTTGGACATTTTTTTTTTGTTTTATGACCTAAGCCGCTGATTCGTATGTATGAAAGAATGTCCTCACTAACGATATCGTGTCTTATCAATGTACGTTAACCGAAACCTTACTAAACAAGCGTATCACCGACTGTCTCGCGTCACAAGTCAGACATTGAACATACGATGATCCATTATCTTATTTTTAATAGATAATGGTTCTTTCATCACTCTTTCGTTTTTATATTAGCCAGACATACATTTGACTTGGTCATCAAATGAATGAATGACTCGTCAAGTGAGTTGAATATGACACCAAACAACACACTCAAATCTCGATTAACGAACGAGACATATACTCAAAAATGTGTTAAATGCTTTTTTTTCTCATTCATCGGTAAAGAAAAAGTAACGACATGCAAATCATCAAGGGAATTATTGTTATTCAGAGAAATCATTGATGCGCACTGTCATTCTCAAGAGTTCAAATCTTATGGTGGTAAAAGTAATAGTTTATTACAAAAGAAACTCTAATCACCAAGATAAACTCAGCAGTCTATATATATTAAAACAAATTTATCGATGTAATTAATTTGCTTTCAATTACTTTTGACTTTATATCATAGAAGAAAAAAAAAGAAATTCTTTTTTTTTTGTGTTAATCTATATTCAATAATGTCTTTATCAGAAAAAAAGATTTATCTGTATATATACATAAGTCGTTATGCTATACGAACGATTAACTTTGTTTTGAACGTAAATGTAAACATAACTATCGGAAGTTATCTATCATTGATTAACGAGTAATATGAAATAGAAAGGAAATCTTACATAAATGTGATAATAATTTAACTTCTCAATTTAATTAACTATGTCCTCTAAATGATTACGTAAAATCTTAACAAATGAGTTAATGTATGATATGTGTAGATATATAAACAAAGTATTAATGACCTTCGAAGCAACAAAAAAAAAGAATTGTTTGCTTTTCATGATATTTTATCTCATAAGACTCGATTTGTTGTAAAAATAAAGAATTAATTAATTATTTTATACACATCTAAAATATCTCTATCAGAAGTTATACAATATAATTTTGTTCGAAGAAAAAAATTTAACAACGACAAATGACAAATAAAAAATAGACAAAAACTAACGAAAGAAGAAGAAGAAGAAGAAGAAAAAAAAGAAATGAAAATCTTTCTATACAACATAAGTAAAGTAGCATAAAAAGAAAAAGCCATATAGACAGAAAAAATTGAATTCTTTATTTTATTATAAACTTCCGATTTACACACGGTATATATGAGCATAATAAGTTCGATGTTGAGCCGTATATGTTTCCCGTAATTAAAATTCTTTATCCCAACCGGTTAAATCATCTTCAGGCTCAGGAGCGTCATCTTCAGCAAAATAATCAAAATTCGATGTATCAGCATCAGTTTCAACCTAAATTAAATAAAATCAATTTTAAATCTTATACAATATATATTTTACTTTTGGAATATAAGGTGCTGCTAGTGTTTGTTTTTTTAAACATTCCCAACTAAATCCTTCAAACCATCTAAAATTGAAATTCAGTGTTAAATTTTTATTAGAAATAGAGGAAAATATTTACTTATGTTTTTGAATATCAGATATTCCACCTTTTTGATAACCAATACGTTCAACGGGATTTTCTCTAGAGAAATAAACATATTGTTTTTATTTTATATGGATGAATTCATCTTGTGTATATATACCGGCATAATCGCTTGATTAATAATGATGCCATTTTAGATACTCTTCGAGGAAATTCTATTGCGTCAATACCTTTTAAAATAACATTGTAAGTTTTCATTGGATCTGAACCGGAAAATGGCGGGCTAAGTAGATAATAATTGAGGATCAAAGCAAAACAAAAACAAAAAAACAAATACATACTTTCCATTAATAAGTTCAAAAATTAAAATACCAAGAGACCAACAATCAGCGGCCATATCATGACCTTTATTAAGGATAATTTCCGGTGCAACATATTCTAAAATAGAAATTTATCTAGAAATGTAAAGAAAATCCTATGAATTACCTGGTGTACCACAAAATGTCCATGTTTTACGTCCAAGACCCACTTTTTTAGCAAAACCAAAATCAACCTAGACACGAAATCAAATATTTGTTAGGAAACAAGATTTTATTTTTTTTTTTTGAGTTAGTTTTAATTGTTAAATATTACTAAGTAAAGGATAGGGTTTCCGAAAAACACCGAAATATAAAATATTGAAAATAGACATAATAAATTTGTGTTTTTAGTTGGTAAGATCTAAGGGATATATAAACGATCTTAATGAAACTAGATAAGATATAAACGCGAATTTTGTTAGATTTAATTATCAAATCGATCAACATATGAAAATAAAATCTTTCGAAACTTGATAATAATCAAACCTATTTCTATATGATATCTGTTTTTTTAAACTTCATATTTAACTATTTATAAAATGATAAGATCTACATAGTATTGACTTTATAATGATGATCGATACACTTATATATATATATTGATCATAATTACCTATCTTGATATTATCACTTGTAACAAAAAAAGCACTTATTTTTATTACTATTCGCAATATTTTTATTCGATGTTTTCCTAATCTATCTATCTATGCAAAACAATTTTATACTTAAGATTCAGTTATTAATTGTCGAATTCTAATTAAAACAAAATTCATACATATTTAATTCTTTCTCTAGTACTTACCAATTTACAATAACCTTTGCCATCTAATAAAAGATTTTCCGGCTAAAAAAAAATAAAATTTAATATATTAATTAATTTGCCACAAGAAAAATTTATTTACTTTTAAATCTCGATAGACAATGCCTTTGCTATGCAAATAGGCAAATGCTTCAATAACACAAGCACAATAAAATCTAACTTCTGATTCTTCAAATAAACCTCGATTTCGTAATAATGTCCATAATTCTCCACCTAAACAACATTCTAATAACATATATAAATATTTTCGATCTTTAAACGTCTTATATAATCTAAAAAGAAGGATAAGATTTATTCTTATCTTTTAAATTGAAATAAATTTACCTGACGATAAATTCCGATCGAGTATCCATCATAATATTTCGTTCATTCATAACATGTTCTTGTTGTTTCATTGCCACAATGTGTTGTTTTTTCATTTGTTTAAGACTATATTTTTTCGAATTTCTTGTATCATTTACCTGTTAGAAGAAAAAGAAAAAAAGGTCAATGTGAAATAGATGAGAAAGAAAAATTATTTTACCAATTCAACACGTCCAAAACCACCGACACCTAATGTGGAAATAATTTCAATATCAGCCAATCGAAGATTTTTCAAATCTCTTTCATCTTCACCACTAATAAATGTTGTACTATAAGAAAAATATATTCGTTAATTTTAATTATTAGAAAAAGTAAATCAACGTACTTTTTACGTGCATATCTAACAGATTCAACTCGTTTCAATCGTGATAGTTCATCTGCTATCATTTCACGATAACTTTGTCTATCAAGTACAAGACATGTAACACCATTTGGATCATCAGCGATAACATTAAATGGTCGAGTTTCTTCCCTTTAAGTAAACAAACATAACACATATATTTATTATTTGAAAATTTTTACGATTGAAGTGCAGTTTCTCCAAATGAATCACCACGTTCCATATGTCGAACATAAACTGCTGTATCCCATTTTGATTTTGCTTGAGTTATCTGAACTCGTCCTATAAAAATCATTTCAATTTATTTATTGATTTATATAACACACCCTCAAACTAACCTTTAGCAACAATATAAAATGTATCACCTTTGGCACCTTGTCGTACAATACATTCTCCATCAGCATAACTAACTTGATCAACTGCATCAGCAATTTTACTAAGAATATCTTCTCGTACACTTTCAAAAGTTTTAATACTAATAAATAGAATATTTGTAAAGAAAGGTCAAACGATTTTTGATAGAAAAGTATATACTTTTTCAATAGTTCTAAATGTTCAGTTTGTTTTTGCATTCCAGCTCTCATCATAATGGCTTGAAATGTTAGACGATCAACTGCCCATAATTTACAATGTGATAAAGCTAAAATTTTAAAATAAAATATTTTATTAAAGAAAAATACTTAGAACTTTTTTTTTCAACCTTTTATTGATGCAGTTCGAGTACAATTATATAAAATAGCTAATTCACCAAATACTCGTCCCGGTCCCATAATTGTTAATACTTTATTATGTTTACTAACTTCTACTGTTCCTTCTACAAAAACAAAAATAGAAAAATAAAAAATAGATTTCAATGAATGTTATTTTGTTTTTTCCTTACCTTCCATAATATAAACAAGATTTCCAACATCACCTTCTTTAATGATTAAACTACCATCTTTCTGTTCAAGTGGGTACATACAATCCACAATAGCCATGATTTGATCCATTTCAAGATTTTTCATAAAATCATTGTTTAATATTGCATCACGTAGAAATTCTTTTGTCCTATTTAATTAGAAAATAATACTAGGATTAGTTTCAAGATTGTTTTCATTTTCTATTTATAGAAATCAACTATAAATATATATATATATATATTGAAGTGTAAATAATATTTCGTTATTTATTAACATAATCTCGAGACAGAAGACTTGTCACTTTTATAAAGTCTAAGACAAAAAAAAACGTTGACGTTAAAAACACGGCCTTGATGATCATTTATATGTCTAAACCCTTATGTTTATAACAAATGTCATTAGATGTCATCAGTAGATATCGACAAAACGATTATGGTACTCATCATTTCTTTAAAAACACATCTGTTTTCAAAAAAATGTATTTATATTCGAATTTCTATTTTAAGACTTACATTATTATCATTATTGTCATTCTTAACAAGTTAGAATATTTTTTTATATAAACATTCACATATATAATACGAAAATAACCTCCTGATTCATCAATATATATATTATTTTCTACTGAATAATCCATCCCACCTTATTGAAGGATTAATATATTAATGAGTAGATTATTTTGTTCAGTCAATAGAAAAATATCTGGCAAAAAATTCTTTGATCAAATCATTGTAATCTCTATGGATGTTTTCTCTTTTTTTTATTTCATTACATCGATATGTAGCTGTTTATCGTCATAATCATCATCATCATCATCAAACTATTTGACTATTCAATTCCATTGATCGACTGCGATTCTTGAATAACAACAACAACAACAACAACAGCAAGAAGAAGCAAAAATCATTACTAACGTATACGTATATATCAACCTACACATTTGTCGATATTTTTCTTATGGAAAAAAATTAGCTACGTCAGATTATTCCTTTGACATAGAAGTAAAATGATATTTTCACTTGTATCATAAATAATATATAGAAACACAAAAAACTTATTTCTCTCTAGACTATTGCTAAACGTTAAATATGTATATTCATAAAAACTAAATGTACTATTAGTGCCCTTGCGAGATACAATGATAATAATCTATTTAGAGCATGGATCAATATTTCCAGATGAGGACCTTTGTCCTTTATCTTTTTCTTTTTATCGATGATCGATCTTAGTGATGCAGATTTGTCACAGTCAAGGTTGAATATCTGCTATTCTAGTTAATATCTTACCGATCAGTTTTATCGAATGCTTGTAAAACAACACGTAAATCTTTGGATTTTTTATGTTGAGCCGGTTCAGCACTAATAGCTGTGCGTTTAATACGTTGTTGTTGTTGTTGTTGTTGTTTGTTAGGTACATCGAGAAGAGATGTTCGTGGTGATGAAGTTGTATTGATCTCATTATCTAAACCAGTTGATGCAACATATGTGGGATCATATTTGGAAATTTCTTGTTCAAGTTTATTTATATAAGCATCTTTTTCTTTAATTATTGATTCTTTCATTGAAATAACTTCATCTTTTTTTCGAAGTTGATTTTCATAATCCGTACGTAATTTATTGGCAGTATTTTCAGCATCTTCAAGTTTTTTGGTGCTGTCACGCAGCGCCAAGCGCAAATCATGCATCGATTGGGTCATCGATTTGCAATAATAATCGACATGTGTGAACGATCAATAATATGAATAAAAAAGGCTTTGTTTCTACTTAGTTTGATTTGGATTGATGAGACTGCGAAACCGTTGTGATGCTACTGCTGTTGCTGTTGTTATTGTCGCCGCGTCGTCTTGCTTCTTCATATCAACACATTGACTTACGTCATCAGACGAACCGATGGTGACGACGAGAGACAAGAAAGAAGAGAAAAAAAAGAAGTTTTATATTCTTCTTCTTCTCCGGTCTATGTACAAGATGCAGTAACGACGTCACTGAAGCATCATCATCAGCACCATCATACATTAACTAATTTATGCTTCTCCATATATTTTTTTCCTCTTTTCTATTCTTTATGTATGTGTATGGGCTTCGTTTATATGTATATATTTGCATTAGACGGATGAAAAATACTAACATTTCCTTAATTCTTGGTATCCTGTTCGTCGAACTTCTCGTTTTTCTTCTTTTGCTTCCTTCTGTGCATATAGACGAACAAAAAAAAAAGAAGAAGGAATATGCAAGATATATTTATATGTATGGTACTACTGCTGTTGATGCTTGAGGGCAAATAAAACAAAACTAGTTTCCTTTAACATTCTTATGTCGCTTACTTTTTGACATCTACGGATATAATTGTGCGCCCTTTCACATATCCATCAAATAAATCTTTCTTGTCGTATAATAGAATTGTCGAAATTGGAAACCTTTATCAGCCAGCAACAACAATATATATAAATATATATTTATTCTTTCACTGCATCATCAATTTTCTTTTCTTCTTCTTCTTTTTTTTTGTTTTAATTATTTCTTGTTGTTTAATTATATATTATTATTCGAAACTTAGATTATGTCTGAAAACATAAGGATATAAGTAGTATCAATTGAGATCACAGCATCCGTTCTCTATTTTTTTTTCTTTTTTGTTTTTAATTGTTTCTAATTATATCTATTTGAGTGGTTGTGAATAGCAATTGACAGCAGACTATGATCGTATTTATTCCCATGATAGACAAATCGTGTGATTTGTACTATCTATTACTTTCAAATTCTGTCACGTATTTAGCTAGAAATCTCTTTTTTCCTATCGAAGATGTGTACAACAAAAAAATACTATAATGATAACAAGATAAAAATGAGACTAATTGAAGAGGAATATATATTATAAGAAAGGAAAAGACAGTAAGATAGATAGATGAGGACATTTTCAAGAATCAGAAAATGCTTATATTTTATCAATTGCTTGGAGAGACATATCCACTCGACAATAACTTATATCCATATATTTATTTATTGGCAACGTCTGTTTCTATTCTGTATACAAGAAAATCACTTTTTTGCACATGATTATACATATATATGTGAAAAAAATTACTCGGGGTTTTGTTATACTGTAATATCAATATGTATTCTTTCATTTCTTCACAATTAGGCTTATGTCATATAACAAATGTAGGTGGTGATACACCATATCGATCGTATTTGTTATCTGTATGATGGTATTGATTGAAAGACAGATAGACTGAAAATATAGATTGATATTGATCTAATTATGATTATTGCTTATTTGTTTTATATTCATTATTAATAATAATCGTTTCTGATTGAGTAATATACTCATTTAGTTAACTGTGATATTAATACTAAAGTCTCATTATTATTTGATAGGAGACCTTGTCTCATAAAGTTCATGTTATAACAAATAATTCCTTATTGGAATATTGAAGGAGAATATTTATTGATCAATACATTTTTATATTGAATAGAACAGATGTTAATAGAAAGCACGTGTATCTCTACAAATAAAGATTTTCAAAATAATTTGATTTCCCAAATGAATATAAGAATAATTAATACTGACATGATTTGTTCATACATTCATTATGTTTATTTTGATACAATTGATATATATATATACAAATTATAATTGTATGTAATGATGTAGGTAAAGAGAAAGTGTTTTCTTCTAATTTCTTAGTTCTTGAATGACAATTACTTTATCTCGAAGTAGATATCTTTGAATAATAACCTTGTTGCTTAAAAAAAAAGAAGAGTTTATCTCTTTGACAAATGTCGTTTCTTTTTTTGGGGAGGCTTATTAGTTTAGACGTCGAAACTAATTATTGAAAGAAAGAAACAAGAAATTGTCGTCTATTAATAAATTTTCACATATATCAAAGAATTTCAAGGCCTTACTTCGAGATAATAACCAATGATATCCTTCTTTTAGTTCTAGACAAATTTTAAATAAATCATTAACTTCAACGAAAGATAGATATCTATTATTGGTTCAGATTATATGGAAGAATACAAGTTGACATGATAATTAATCATCATTATTCAAACGATGAATTTCAACAAGCACGAAAACAACTGACAACTTCAAAATGATTGATTAACTTATGCATTATTTGACATAAGAATGAGGATTTCTTAGTTGTTAAAGACAGGATAATATCTATGTAAAAACTTTTTTTTTATTCTCAGTTATTTAATCGATTGACAAATTGGATTTTCGAAAAAAAATATAATTAATTTTTCTTCTAACATTGACAAGATAAATACATGTCTATTAAAATTAGAAGAGTATTAATATGTATATCGAAATGTAAGCTATACAAAAAAAGACCGTTTCTAATTACTCCGTACTTGACGGATTTTTCTATATGATTAATGAGAAGTAAATATATTTTACAGTCCACATAACATGCTGATTTACCTTGAAGTCCAGATGGTTTTTAATATGATTAACTACAGAAAGAAAGTTCGCTTCTCAAATATTATATTTTATTCTTTCAAACAATACAAGTAACGCTCGTCTAAGGACTCGCTTAGCTCTTTCTCGTAGAAATGGTGTTCTACAATGCTATGGGACCTTTTGCTTATATAACTTGCAAAAATTAACACCGGATTCAAAGTCCCTGCATCGAAATACCTCTACAAATATCTTTTCCGAAAAATTGATCTTCGATGTTTTTTTGACCCTGCGGACACACAGCGCAAGCAAAGAAACAATTTATGTTCTCTACGAGAAAGAGAATATTATATTTTATTTTTTCAAATAATACATTGTATTTAAAAAAAATTTTTATCGACAACCACATTCTACAACTTGCATTCCTTGATGTCGTTTAATAATTAATTCTCGATGATCATAATAAAGTAAATCAAGTGATCGAAGACGAACAGGTACACAAGATGGTTGTTGAATAGAATTACCTCGTTCATGTAATAGACTTAATAACATTGCATGATTTGTTGGATAATATAAACGTGATAATGGATTTGGACAATCACCACGACATATACCAGCATTGAATTTTTTTGGTTCAACAACCCATGCACCGAATGATAATTGATCAAAATCAACGAATAGATCATGTCTTGAACAAGGACCAGTTGTTATTTGTTTAATTGTTCGTTTTGTTCTTATATTTGATGATGATGATGGAAGAATAAAACCACCAGGTGTACGTGAATAAATAACAAGAGATGCTTCTTCAAGATATTTTCTTATCCATAATTGTCGTCGAATTATTAATATTTGTTTTGATGAATTATGTATTAAATAATCCGTTAAATCATATGAAAGATATTCACTTTCATCTTTTGAAATAATCATTGGACGAAATCTTTTTTTCTTCTTAGAAATATCATTTTTTATAATTAAGAATAATTTTTTTTTATTTATTTTCGATTTTAATTTCAAACGAAATTCAATTAATTTAACTTCTTCATTTATTTGAATTTTATCCAAACTAATATTAAATAATAATCGCGAATTATTCATTGATATTGATGTTAATGATAATAATCGAATTGTATTAATAGTTTTAAGTTTTATTTGTGCTTGATTATTAAGTGATAATCCATCAACTAACGAACCTTTTTCACTGATCTTCTTATATAAATCAACAATTGAATCCGTTTGAGTTGAAATAATTTTTGTTAGAAGAAATTCTTCCAAAACCAATATGAAAAATATATTGAACATGAACTGCATTATTTTGTTTCGTCTTATGATTTTTCTCGAATATTTATATTCCTCATCGAATGAGACCACCCCGTATAAACACGAAATCGATCGATTGATAACATGTATATATACACAATGACCACCTCGGTTCTATGTTTAGATAAGAAGGTAAATAATCAATCATTTCTCTATATCGAGGTGGTCTATTTGAAAATTATATTAGAATGATTAAAAAGGGAAATGTTTTATTCAGATTAAAATGTCAAATTACAAAAAAAGAAAAAAGAATGTTTTAATGCGTTGTTAATTTATTTGGAAGATGAAGAAGTAGATACCATTGATATGATTAATCTAATTAAAAGAGAAAGAAATTTATAGAAATACATTGAATCAAAGTTTTTAGGTCAAGTTAACTGTCCTCCAAATTTGGAGTTTACGGATATCTAAATTTTCGCGAAAAACTCTACCTGAAAACTGTAATCATCTGTTTTTGATTGTTCTAATAGATACTCTAGACTGCACTGAGTCGACTGGTGATGCTCACGAAAAAAAGCACATAATTACAAGCAGTGTTTTATCCAGCTTTTTTCGTCCGAGGGTGCGAAATTAATTGCCGGGATGGCAAAAATCTCTCTTCTGGTGGGGGAGGGGGCGCAAACGTAGAGTTTCAGGCACAAAAAGCGTAATTTTACTGAATTCCAGGGGG